CTCCCAGGTGGGGTTACAGGTGTATGTCCCCTCCCAGGTGGGGTTACAGGTGTATGTTCCCTCCCAGGTGGGATTACAGGTGTACGTCCCCTCCCAGGTGGGATTGCAGGTGTATGGCCCCAAGCCTGTCTTTTCCACAAGATGCCTGAGCACTTACTTCTCAGGTGAAGCAGCTAAGCCCCTACAAAGCCCCACACTCTCCTAGCCTAAGCTTGGTGTCTCCAGCTCACCCCAGGCCCTGGCTCATACCTGAGAAGGGGATGTGGATCAACTCAGGATGAGAGCCTGAGAAGAAACGGCCTCCAGCAGCATCTTGGGGGACCCCAAAGTCTCAAAGAACTCAGACAAGCCCAGTGTGAGGCATCCAGGATATCAAACAAAGGGCAAAAGTGGGAACAGAAGCCACTGTAGCCACAAGTGTGGGCGCCCCAGGCTGCAGCATCAACTGGAGGAACTTGCTTTCCCTGGTCCCCAGAGCCCCCTCCTCCCCTGGCTCAGCACACAGCAGGGCAGCATAGGTTACCTGGAACTTGTCAGGGTCAGCTGCTCCAGCCTGACCCACGAAGAGGCCAGAGTCGTGCTCCAGTTCCAGGCCTTGCGGGGACCGAGCAAACGGCACCTTCTGGAACTCTTCGCAGTCTATGTAGAGAGCCACAGAGCCTCCATCCACACTGAGCGCGAAGTGTGTCCACTGGCCAACAAACGCAGGCAGGTGGAAGCTGGCACCTGTGTGGGTCTGGCTGGCACCGTGTTCCGTGTAGAGCAGTGAAATGTTCTGGTAGCCATCTTGCACCCCCGAGAGCTTCACGCCCAGAGAGACCACTGTCTGCGCGGCGTCCGTGATGGCAAACAGTACCCCTGCAGCCTTCGTGGCCGGTTGAATATGAAACAGGAGTGAAAAGTCACGGAAGAAGAGTCTAGGGAAGTGGTGCTGGGCCACCTGGCCACCACTGGAGTCTAGTCCAAAGACGTAGGCTGGCCCGACGTCGGGGTCTTCGATCTGTTGGATCTGCGGGGGCAGAGGGTCCCCGAGGAGCTGTGGCAGTCCCACCTCCTCAGCGATGTTCTCTGCAAAGAGAAAGACATCCAGTGAGGTGGCTGCACGGGAGCAGACTCAGTCACAGTGGCATCTTAGGAGACACAGAGCATGAAACCACCCCTAATCCAGGTCTGTGCGGCCATCTCTCCCTGCTTTCATGGACTCCCAGGCCAAAGCAAATATTCCAAGATGGAAGTGAGGGGCTGGGGCATGAAGTCCCCCACTCTGACTCTACAGGAGGGACACAGACACGAAGTAAGACCTCTCTACGGCAAAGAGAGAAGAGGCGACACAAGGTGGCTCCTGCCTGAAGCTCCACCTGGTCTGGGAGTCAGCTAGAGACAAATCGAACCTGGGAGCCTCAAACGGCCAGGCTCCAAAGTTGGCTTTCCCTGGCTCCATCTCTTCATTATGGTTTCTAAGTTACCATCAATTTCTCACTCGGGTTCCCCACACACCTGTTCCTCAGGATATGCTCTTCCTTGGCCATTTCTGCTCCCTGAAGCTTAACACCACACTGCGGTGCAGAAGGCTGCAAGACGGCAGGCCGCAGCAGCCCAGTACAGACTCTCCCGGATTTACAACTCTGCTAAAGTGCCCCGGGGTGGCCAGTGACCCATTTCACTTACACACAACACTCCTAGCACCATTTGAGTTGGGCACAGATGTATGAGCCCTTCTTGTCTTTAGGTCAGGGCCACCAGGGCCACTCAGCACACTCAAGCAGTCCAGCATTACAAAGCCTGGGAGGAGGCGCTTGGGCAAGGAGAAGGTTCATAGTCAAGAGCTCTCCTAGGAAGGAATGGCTGGAGGCAGGTGTGCTTGGTAGTATGTGAGTGTGTAAGGATACCATGCCTCATGTCAGACTGTGGGGCTAGAATAACAAGGCCCCAACAGAGTAGGAGATGGGAAATATTGAACCTCCACCTTCACAGGACAAGTGGAGTCACCAAGCCCCTCGAAACCAGAAGACAAGAGCCACCATAGAGCGCATCCCTCAGGGGACAAAGAACAGCTTTGTGTGCCGAGTGGACATCCTGAACTGCTGCAAGGGTCCCGGTAAGTCTCATCCTGTCACATGCTCTTTAAGCCCTAAGTGCTGACCAGACATGGTACTGGCCAGGAGCAGAGTGGACACAGTTGGTGGGGGCACGGTTTGCAAGAGCTGAGTGTCTGCAGCCTTCAAGATGAGAGCAGAGAAGGGTGGTGGGCTAGCCTTGGGAGGTCAGTGATCCGTCACAATCATAGCTGCTCCAGTGTTTCCTTCTCACCAGAAATGCTGGGACCTGGAGTTCACACTTGAAATTCTGCAGCCAAGTCTTGCGTGCTGCCTGAGTGCGGGAGATGAGGCCATTCTGCCCCTCCTTCTAGGACAGCAAAAAATCCCTGGCGCCCCACTAGCCCAGCACACAGGACTCTACAGCTGCTGGCTTTCTGGGCTGGAAGGCACCAGTGTGTGCCATGATGACCCCTGGGTCCTTAGAGACCTACAGTCAGCTCTTCCCAAGTCCTTCCATTTCCTTTCTATGAAATTCTTTTCAGCTCTGCTGGGAGTAGATGCCAAATGCCAGGGCAGTAAGATCACTGGCTCTGCTCTCTGGTTACAGCATCGTGATGGGGGAAGGGCCTGGCTGCCTAGTCCAGGAAGCTCATTTGTGGGTAAGGAGCAAGGCCTGTGCCATGCTCTGAGGGCTCAGAGGCCTTCTAGAGGACGGTGGTCCCTTTGTAAGTGGAGACTCCTCTAGTCACCCGTCTGACCTCAGATCCAGGAATGGGGTCCTACCTGGTTAAGCCCACCTCCCCTGAAGTAAGCAGGTACAGTTCTGAAAGGGCTGTATTCAAACATGTACACCCTTGAGCTACATGTGGGACCAATTACAACCAGCATCATGCTACATCAGTAGCATGAATAATAAAAACCCAGAGACAGATATTGGGGTTCAAGTTGAAGATCAGAAAAGCAAAGCGGCCAGCCACTGGCTCTTACCTCCACCTCAGACTGAAACAGGCGAATTCTGCCTCCACGAATCCTCAGATTGAGACTGAGCGAGACCAGTCTCCTCCCACCGTATACTCTGCTCTAGTGCAAGGATTAAAGGCATGCACCACCATTGCTGGCCTCTATGACTAACTAATGCGGATGCTGGGATTAAAGGCGTGTGCCACCACAGTCTGGCCTGTATAGCTGCCTAGTGTGGCCGCTTTGCATTCTGATGTTCAGGCAAGCTTTATTTATTAAAACACAAATAATGTACCACTATACATCCCCTCACAAGAACATCAAGACCTGGCTCTGGAGGGACAAGTAGGAAGACTGTCTGGTACTCCCACCTGACTGGACCAGGCTCCTGGTGGTACAGGAGCTCCTGCCAGCCTCCCTCCCGGGACAACAGCCAGTCCATCTCCCAGTGCAACTTTCCAGACACTTGACTTCACAGCATCTTCACTGCCAACCTCAGCAGCAGGGCCTGGTTCTAGAACATGAGGGCAGATGGCATAGCCCTTTGGCAAGGTCTCAGTTTGGCAAACATCATGAGAAAAAGACCCTTCACAGGGATCGTGGCAGGATGAATCATCAGCACCAGGACAAGAGTGCATCTCTAAGCAGGTGACGCTCCCTCTCTCAACAAGGATCTTGGCCAATCCAGTCTGCCCGCCCTGGAGAACAGCCTCCAGCTAAGCCAGTAGCCCATGGGCTGCTCAGGGGTCCTTGACTCCTCCAATGCAATGGAGCAGATCTATCTTTATGTGCCGGGCTTCTGACAACCAGGCCCCCCAGCTTGTCAATTGGTTCTCCCAGGGATGCAGCCTGGGTACAGACTGTGTATCCCTCCCTGGGCTGGTCATTCACTTCCCCCTCATATGCTCTGGGGGCTGCTGCGTATAGGACTCAGGCTATGGCAGCCTGTCCCTGGTCTCTCTGGCCTCCCAACCATGTAAAACTCAGACTGCGGCAGCCCTGCCCCAAAGAACCTAGGCCTGGGTCCCGGCTGAGCATCTGCTGCTCCTAGAGTCCAGGGAGATGTCACCATGAAGGAACTTCCTGTCCAGCACCAGACAGGCTCATATCTGAGATACCCAACTGCCAACCAAGCAGCAGCTATGGAACCTTCTGGAAAAAAACTAGCTCTTCAAACAAATATGTTCCTTGAGTCAGAGGGAATCGTAGCAGTCCCTCCCTGCTTCTAAATTCTGGGGTCTATTCAGACACATACAGTTGCTGTGTAGGGACGTGGGATGGATGGTAACATCTGTGCTGGACCCAGCTTGGGTACCCAATGGTCACCTAGTACACAGCTGCGGAATCCAGGGGTACAAGTCCAGCCAGTAGTCCAGTGATGTGGGATGCCCTTCTGTATGATTGGTTAATAAAGAAGCTGATGTGGCCTATGGCAGGGCAGAATAGAGCCAGGAGGGAAATCCAAGAGATGGTGGGGGAGAAGGGGGGGGGAGCCGACGCGACCCCCCCACCGCCGGGGGGGGGGGGGACGACAAGATGTGAGGTAACAAGCCATGAGCATTGTAGTAAAATATACAATAATAGAAATGGGTTAATTTAAGTTGTAAGAGCTAGTTAATAATAAACCTGAGCTAATAGGCCAAACAGTTTGTAATTAATATTAAGCCTCAGAGTGGCTATTCAAAAACCAGTGGGTGGGAGAGAAACCTCCAGAAACATTCCAGCGAGTGACTGTCTACACTGCTGTGGGGAAAGGCTCAAGAGAGTTATTGGAACTAAGCAGCCAGCATGGAGAGTTTTATTACTTCCACCTAGGCCTGGCTCCGCTGCACTAGATTCATTGTGGAATGAGGCCTCAGGGGCTAGTTTTGTGAAGCCTTGAATGGAGCCGTTTGAAGAGATATTCAGAGTACTTGTGGAATTGAGAAACTATAACCAAGCCAGAGCAGGGAAAAGGCAAAAGCTGAGAGGAAAAGAAATACCATGATCAATAAAAAGCATAAAATGAGAGGGTGGCTTGGGTTCAGGTCGACCAGCAACCTGAATATACTGTAAATTCCCAGGTGGAAGACAGTCGTGAGTTAGGCCAAAAGTGTCCAGGTAAACACAGACAACGGCACAGTGAAGAAACATCTGGCAAAAATTGCACAGGACGCCTGAGGGGAAAGATGTAGACAACAGGGACAAGGCAAGCATTGCAAGCACACTGCCTAGAACAGGGTCAGGTTGAAGCCGACCTTTGACCTTTGCCTGGGAACTGCCCACGTGGGTACACATGAATCTGGCAATGGTGCCCTCAGCACACACAGCAAAACGGTGTGTCTTAATGACATTCCCGAGGCACCTTTTCTGTTGAAATTGAAAGAGACAATCTCAGCGAGATGGGAAGTCTTGAGCCTCCAGAGTGTTTTTTTACGAAGTCCCCTAATGCTATTTTATAGCCCAGAAGCAACTAGAGAGTACACAAGCCCAGAGTGGGCACACGCCTGGCCGCAATATCAAAAGAAAAAGACACAGAACGAAACATTCCCAGACAGCACTGCACCTTGCTGGAAAGACTAAAACTGACTTAAGCAAGTGAAGGCTTGGGCTGACCTGCTGCCCACCCCCTCCATGATATTCCAAACCCCATGTGATCAGTGTGGTTCAACAACGGTCCTGGTGGGTATCTTCTGGTGAGGAGGATGTGTTCCGGTATGATCCTGCTTGGAAGAATAAGGTCCTGGGTCTTGAGAATGGGGCAGTGCCTGGGGAGGGTTGTCCCAGAGACCCAGATCAGGACCTGCTTAAGGTGCTGGGCCAGGGTTTAGTCTACACAGGCAGATAATCCAATGAGCCAAAGGGTAAGCAGGCCATTAAGACAAGACACGGGAAACATCTGAAGATGCTCAGTGGGTAGAATTATCCCTAGGTGTTAAAGAAAATGCCAGAAGCAGGCAGCCACAGGAAAAAAGGGCAGGGCAGCTCCTGAGACACCAGAACTATGTGACAGGAGCTGCTCCTGTGTGCGACCACATACATGCACAGACCTCAGTGTGCTCCTGTGTGCGACCACATACATGCACAGAC